GACGACGATCCGAATTTCATCCCTCTGATTTTGACCGCCGAACAGCAGGCCTACGTCCAAGAGTTGAATCGCAAAGCCGCTTCTCTCAGCGGCGAGATCCAAGATCTACGCCTCCGCCTTCCGCCGCCGGACATCTCCCAACGCCTTCCCGATCTCCATGCCCACTCCCTCGCATCCTACGCCGACCTTGCTCTTCAGCTCAATTCCCACTCCGCCACCAAAGAACAGGTTTTCTATCTCGTTGCTCACTCACCTTATTTTCTGTTTGTTTTGCCCTCTTCTCGTATCCATTTTATCGATCTATATGTGTGTGTGTGTGTTTTCGCTATATAATCCACTCTTGTAATGGCTAATGATTGATTTAACATTGAGGATATTTATGAATTCATATGTAGCTGCCTTATATTTAGACAAATCACTGCTTTTATTTCTGATTCTATAGTTCAGTGTTGCTTTTGTTCTTATGGCAGTCACAACTAAGAGAAGTTACATTGCTGGAAGAAAATGCTGAATATGAGAAGGCCATATCGAATTGTAGAAACAAAATTGAAGAGAAGCAGCGGGAAGCTGATAAACTTCAAATTAAGTTAAAGGTTAGAGACAAGTTTCATTCTGAAAAGATTTGATGAAGAGGGAAAGGGCGGTATATGAACGTTGCATCCTGGAAATTGTATGTAGATATAATTTGTCTTACACTATGGTTTAAGGAATTTGGAAGGAAACCAAAAAAATGGTTCTCTCATTTTCCTAGCTAAAATGGGAGGAATATGGTTTTCTATCCTCTTAGTACATTTTGTCTTTTCATTTTCTTTCCGTTCCACTTTTGTTTTCCTCTCTAACCAAACAAGAAAAATTATTTTCCATTTTATTTTATTTTCTTTTCCCTTTCAAATTTCTTGAACCAAACATAGTGTTAAGGAATTTCATTAGTGATAAACTTTATGAAGTAAAGCTCATTCCAATTCATTGATTTACAATGGGATTTATAGAAGAAGCTATAGAAGGAAATTAGGACAGAAAGGTAACCTATAGCTAAAGATGGAAAGCAAATACTCCGTAGGAAATTTTATGCAAACCATGGCTAATTACATGTAATCACTTCAAGCCTTTCCTAATAATTAGTGGGTAGTCACATTTATGTCTTTCTTTTAATTAAAAATTTTAGTTCATTGACTCCTAAAAGATTTATTTGATTAACCATTTATGATTTACATGCGTCTCTACTTTCGAGTGGGGTAAGGTTTGCGTACATACATCCTCCCTGCCTCCCTGCCTCCCTACTTTGTGCCGCTTGTGGGATTCTACTGTGTTTGTTGTTGTTGTAGTTAACCAACACATATCACCGACCACACTAGAGCAGTTGAAGGGATAAGGGAGGGAATGGCTATTATTTTCATTCTTTATTTTTCAAAGTAGAAAATGTAATATGATAACTACCTTAAACTCTACTAGTATGCCCTAATAATATATTTATGACCATAAACAATATATAATTCTCTTAATTTTAAAAATTAAAAATGTGTCATTCCCTCCCTTCCCTTCCTAAGTACCCCTCCCAAACATACCCTGATGGTCCAAAGCTCTGATTACTACTGTCCTCCCCCAAGGTCTATATCATTACGAGTATTATTTTACAGCCATCTGACTGTGTGAATTGTACTCCACACTTTATACTTTTGGTATATTTTTTTCAATGCAAAATGACATGCACTCTTCTACACTGCTCTAAAGGAAATGGATTTGGCAGAAGAAAACTTGAAATTGGAATTACAGAGTGTGCAAGCTGCATTGGAGAGCCATTCCATAGAAACAAATGAAACTGTAACAAACTCTACTGCAGGAGATGGTACAGAATCTTCTAGTTCCATGACATTGGAGAAATTAGAGCTCAAGAAAAAGGAACTGGTAAGAAACTTATTTGCATCCACCTTATGAGTATCACTATCAATTGTTCATTTCATTTAGTTTGATAAGCTTATCTTGATTGCTAGGCATCAATGGAAAAACACATTCAAGACCTTGAGATAGAATGGGCACAAGTTCAGGATAATGCATTGAAACAACCTTCTGCAGGTACTTCAGCACAAACATGACTTATCATCTCCTCTTTATTTGAATAATATTTGTCGAGTGATAAAAAGGAAGTTTCAAGTTATCTTTGGATCATATAAATGCTACGGATAATTGTGTTCATTTTAGTTTTACAACTGAAAATGCATAAGTACACAATATGAACTTTTTTTTCTTTTTAAAATTTTAAATATATTTTAATTTCTTACTCGTTATATAATCTCTCATTAAACCTTACTTATTTGAACTTCACATCTGGCCCAAAATTCCAATCACGTTTTTTACACTTATCAGTGCTTCTTTAACTGTGTGCCCAGTCAAACCGGGCACTAAATTAGGGATGGATGGAGTAATATATTTAAATAAATAGAGTATCTACGAATATCCATAATAAATAAATTTGAGTTTTAGCCTATCCTTTAGCTCTTCACCTCGCCACATTTTAAATCCTTCTAATTATCCTCTATGTTTTCTTGCCTAATCTTTTCCCTAGTATTTTTCAGCTCAGCGTGAGAAAATACTGGACAAACAGCTTCACAGCTTGATTGAACAGCTTGCTTTCAAACAGGTAAATCTCTTCTTTCATAGGTAATCTTAATGATCAGTTTACCCATCTCTGCTGCCAAACAGGTAAATGTGTTACTTCACAGTTCAATTTTCTTTTCCTGCTTATAGGCCCAAGCAGAAGGCATAGTCAATGAGATTCATATACAAGAGATGAAGTTAGAGAGATTGAATGGCCTTCAGAAGAGGTCTGTAAGCAGCAACTCAGATATGATAAGTGCAAGGAGCAGGTATGGAAGAAGCAGCTTTGACAAAGGACTCATGTCAGATTACATTGTTGACCCTCGTCAGAAGCCGATGATGCATCAGGAGGCTGGCCGAACTGAGGGCATTCCGAAGCAAATTCTGCTCAGGTCAGCTTTTGTTATCTATATTTTCGCTCTACATATCTTGGTGTTCATCAAAATTTCAATTTAAACATCAAAGCTCATCCATGAGTCAAACAAACCAAATGGGTTAGTCATGAATTGGCTGTTTATGAGCTTGTAATCTCTGGTACATAAATTTTATTAACATTATGCAGTTTGAAATAGTTTGAGAACACGAATAATTAGATACTGGAGCTTTCTCTTGTCCTGACTTCACTCAATTTGTAACTAAAATAGAGCTTGGATGGACCAGAATGAAAAAGATTATATTACTGATTCGTCTCTATTGTCAATCATCGATTTCCTTTTTCGATAACTTCAGAAAGAAATCAATTCCATGTATTGATTGGCCTGTGCAAACACCAATCCACTGCACAGTTCTAATGTCAAAAAGTGATTCAACCAAAAGTTCAAGCTCGTGGTTCTAGGCCCACTAGCCCAGTATACTCTAACATGTTACACATGGTAGCGTTTGGATTGGGCCAATGGCCATAGTCATTTATCTTTGGACTAAAACTGATCATAAGCTGTTTGCATGCATAATGGGCATGGCAAGCCAAAAAAAGTTGCAGAAAATGAAAATTTCATGCCCATAAATAGAAACAGTAAAGCAAATGTAATACTTGTACATATACTCTGCAGTAATTAAAATAGTAGATTTACGTTTAAATATATTATATTTCTGAAAAAAAATGTAATTAGTACGGAGTATTTATTAGTGTTCTTATTCTTCCATTAGCTATCGATTACAAATCAATACATTCCATTGTAATTTAAATTACAAGAATTTAAATTTTAGGATTGAAATTCTAGAATTCAAATGAATTTCAATTCTAGTTTTAAAATAGCATATTAATTGAAAAAAGAGTTTGAATAAGATGTTAATCCAAGGATTAACTCATCAATTACCCTAACTAGCACTCCATATGTCCCCTAATGAAATTTACTTTTTTCTTTTTTGTCAACATAAAATAAAGAGTAAATTCTATAAAAGATCTTCAGTTATAGGTCGTTTTTAATATTTAGTCTCCACATATTAAATATTAATAATTTAGTTCCCAATTATTAAATTGTTTTCTGCAAATGTTCCTCTGTTAACATTCCCGTTAAGACATTAAGACATGGATAAAATTGTAAATTCACACTTCTCTCTCCTCAATTAAGCTTCCTCCCTCCTCTCGTACTCCTTCGTAAACCCGTCGCTGAGTTTGAAACTCTGAACCCAAAATCGAAATCATTACTCCTCTATCAATTGTTCGTCTTTCTAGTGGAATCCAAAATCGAAATCAGTAACTTTAACGGATGAGTATGCAGGTTTATTATTATTATTATTTTTTTTTTTTGCAATTTTCGGAGACTAACCTATGAAACTCATCGTTTCATAGGTTAACTGGAAATCAACTGGGCCTCAAGTAATTGAGCCCAATAGGCCTGCTCAGCCTCATTCGTCGAAAATTGGGCTCGGTCAAAAGACCTAAAGATTTATTTTCCTCGGACCTAAAGATTTATTTTCCTCGTTACCCGGGGGGATTTTAACCACTTTCTTTACTAATTTTTTATGTTTATTTAATAAAATAATATAGTCATATTACCTTTTGTTGTATATAATTTTCAATATAGTTTTTAAAATAAATAAATTTTATTTTTACATCCCACATCAATTTTCATAAAAAATAAATTAAAAATAATCTCAATCAATCCAAGTCTAAGAGATGAAGGGGATGTGCAAGCATTAGCAGATCTCCCCATCCCCTTCAACCAACTTATACTCCAAGCAAAATGGCACGGTTTCCCCTGCAATGGGATAGCAAGAACTGAACCGTTCTGGAACTGGTTCAGAAATTGGATCGGAATTCGGCAAGAGAGCAATATAATCCACCACGCTTGCCGCCATCGCTTCCGGAGAAGTACAAAGTTCAATTCGTTGAGTTGTACATTTTATGTTCTCCTAATCTCCTACATTGACTTATTAAATAAATCAATTCTTCTACTTAATAAATGAACTTTGAAAATTAATTTCTCTCGTTTATCACTTTATCATATACTCCCTCCGTCCCGGAGTATTCGTCCAGTTTTGACTTTTGGAACTGTTCATCTAAGCACTTTGACTCATCAAATTCTCTCAATGTGTAAGCCTAAATATAATCATGTGTAATCTTGTTTGATTTATCTTAACATATAGATTATTAATATATAATTTCTATAATTTTTTAATATACAAATTACAAGATAAAATGGATTAAAGAAGTGTATTGGATGGTGTGTAAAAATGAAAGTAGACAAATACTCTGAGACGGAGGTAGTAATATAGAGAGTATCAAAATGTTCATCTCACGTAGGAGAAATCCACCCATCAATTAACGATCAAAACTAAACTCTTTATAGACCCTATGGATAAAGTTGAGCCCGACTCTTAAATGGCTATTCATACCAAAATTTCCACACTTATCTCCAATGTTTAACAAATGGACGTACTTTAATTTCATAGTTTTTCATTGCATTTTTTAACTGCATTAATTTAAAAAAGAATTGCATGACTAAATAAAACTAGAGTAATTCACGTAAATGGAACATAAACGTATCATTTTTCCTAAATATGACCAGTCTTATTTACTACAATTGCAATACTCTCACCGTCCCACAAAATCTTTCTTCTTTCTTTTTTCATCCGTCTCAAAAAATCTTTCTCATTTTTATTAAAAAATCATTTTTACCCTTACTAATTTTTAACCAACCTATCACATTACACTTTTTACTATTAATCTATTCATCTCATTTTACTTTTACTCACCACATCTAAGGGCATTTTTAAAAACTCAACACCGAAATACACCCCCCTTAGATTCTTTAAAAATAAAAAACCAGAAAGCTTTTTTGGGACGGAGAGAGTATTTGACAATGAAAAGTCCTAAAATGTTATGCCTTGAGAAAAATGACATATTACACAATTCAAGTAGAATATGACATTATTAAAAACAATTTGAATAGTCATTGAAATAATCACTCACTATCCAACACTTGTTGCGAATGACCACATTCGTAGAGTTATTCATATAATCAATCATTATCCAATACTTGTTGCTATTGAGGGCAAATGTGACAAGTCATATGAAATTATGTGTCATAAAGAGAATAAAAAATATTTGGTCATGCTCAAAGAAATGTATTTACTTTATTTAAGTTTTATATGGAGCAAATTTTTCATAAGATCAGACTGATTATTGAACTTGGAATATATATGTTAATAAACACAAATACGGAGAGACAATGATAAGAAAATTAAGAATATTTCTGGAATGAGTAATAATTTTATTTGAGATGTGATCCAATAAATAAAAAATCACAACCCATTTTATGAGAGTGAAATTTATTCTAACTTGAGGAGATCTATGGCACTATATATTCTAGGAAAAAAAGAATGAAATAATATTTAAAGACAAAAAAAGGGTAAAGATTGATTATTAAAATAAAATCTATGCCATCAGTAAATATATATAGCTCTTCATCAATTCACTTGTTCATTCCCATGGCATTCTTCATCCCATCTGCAGCTCCTTGTGCTTTAGCAGCCATCTGCTGGCCAGTCTGCATTTAAATAATCAATTATAATTAATTATATTACTCATATGTATTAGATTCCTTAATAAGTATTGAATTAACGGCCTAGGGCCGCTCCAAAAATGTGAAAAAATAAGATTGGCTCTGTGCAAAATTCACCTGTACATGTTGTGTCCTATATTGCTCTTTATGGAATACTTGTGTTTTAAAATTAATGCTAGACTTGATTTTCAATAACTACTTTTATATTACTTTAACTATTAAATTACGGAGTATAAATTTATACGTCCAAAAAAAATAAATTAAAAAGTATCAACTAATTAAAATAATGAATATCTAAATAATAGATTTAGAAAACTAATAACCCAACTATGATCCCAAATAAACCGTATAAATGAGAAATGAACATAGATAATCTGAAAAAATGATACTTTTAATATTAATAAATTAAAATAAAAAGAAATGAACATAACTATTTTGATCAAAATAATGATGATGATAATAATAATAATAATAATAATAAACTACGGATTAATTAATTAATTAATTAATGACCTCTTGCATAGATTGCTTTGCAGATTGAGCAGTATCCTTAGCTTTGTCGATCATCTGGCTGCTCTTCTCCTGCATTTGGCCCTTGGCCTCACCTGCATGGTAACTTGCTTTCTGTGAATTATCCATCTTCAATTCTATATTTTAATAATAATTAATACTTTTTACTTTTAATAATTTGTTGCTTATAATATTAATCTTTATTATTCTGTGCTAATTAATTGGTCAGGTAGGGTACTTATATATATATATGCATGCATGCATGAAATGGTCCATTACATGCATGTTAATTTGTGGACGTACGCAATCCTCTCTTTTACCACCCTTCACCGCGAGAATCAGTCTTCTGTTCTTTTTTTTTCCTTTTTTTTGAAATGAAAAGAGATTTATATTTATGATAAAAAAAACTTGTGGTTTAAAAAACTTGTGATTTATATTTAAACTTGTGGTTTAAATACACTTTTATAGATATCTATAATGTCCAAGATATGATTCACCATATTTAATTTCTCCTTTATTGTGGGTAGAAGTTATTTTAGAGTATTTTAGATACTTTAGATTGATAGAAGTATTTTTTGGAATGCGCGAAAAATAAAACAGAAATTTTTTCAGAGACTGATGGAGTATATATGCTACTAGTCATTTTACTCAAAAATGGAAGTGTTTTGTAGAAAGGGTAAACAATGAAAAAATTAAAGAAGGGTTATAAAGGGAAGGAGTATTTTTCTTCTTAATTATTACGGAGTATATCCAAACAAGAGTTATTTTTGAGTCTCTTTGGTTGGGAGAGAATATTTTTACAAAATGTTATTTTCAAGGAGAAGTAATTTTTAAGTAAAATTATTTTTTCCCTACCTTTTTCGTTATTTAATTTGTTAGAATTTTTTTATTTTCCCTCTAATCACCCGCCGGGAGTATTTGAAAAAAAGAATGAACCTTATTACCGAGGGCCTCTTCAAAATCGGTCGAACAGTCCCATCCTGTTCGCTTCATCGGTCCAATCAAGTCAATATTCAACAAAGCTCCGGCACGGCGTCTCCAATCTACCAAAAACATTGATGGACGTACATCTTTGGTTTACAAAAGATTTAAGGCAATGATAGGGATACACTAACATGGGATACCTCACTTATACACCAGACGAACACTGACACACACAGACACAAAATGTCTGTGCAGCACAGACATTTTGTGTTTGTGTGTATATGTATTAGCTTGGTATACAAATACCCCATGCTAATTCAAAGATTTATCCAAAAACATGCATCATATTGAAAATTTGCCATTCTATATCTAAATTCAATGCACCATTATTATACTTCTTCCATCACAAAATATTTTCAATTATTTAATTATCTCCTTTTTTTAAAATTGATGTATTTTAGAAAGTGAGAAAGCTAATTAATGTGGCAAGGGGTTGAGTACTTGAGTGCGTCAACGTGCGCAAAGTACGTACCAAAATATGTGCGAAGTGTACATGAAAGATAAAGATCCCATAAAAGGTGGGATGGATGTACCTTAATCAATGCTCTCATAATCAAATAGGTATGAAACTAATGTGCCAAATTATATTCATTGAACAATTAAACCCATAAAAAAAACACATGCATACATTTGGCTCTACATCTCATGCATCATCTTGGTATGCTCCCTATATATGTTAGTAATTATATTAATTAACCATCAAACACAAGACAAGAAACACTAATTTCTCATTGTACGAACTCTATAAAAATTTTAGGCTCGGCGAGACATCCGTGTACGTAATGACTGAGTTGCAGAGAGACAAGAACAGAGAATAATACGCATATACGTACAGAATGGTGATAAGCGCGTTGAGGAAATTGGTAACGAGCTAGGGCGAGGAGTAAACTTGTGGAGAAGAAGAAGAAGAAAAGAAAGAGTTTGAAGAGAAAGGAGTTGGCCTTCTTTGGTGCATACAATAAGATAGAGAAGAGCCAAAGCATGAGAATAATTGATGAGATGAAATCAGAGTCCAACAACATATATATAGCCCCAAGTAATTACGCCACTCAAATGATCTCACCCCCAAGTCCACAACCAGCCTAGCTATAATTAAGTTTATGAAAATATTACTCCCTCCGTCCCACTCTTTTTGTCCACTTTCATTTTTGCACATCATCCAATGCATTTCTTTAATCCATTTTATCTTGTAATTTATATATTAAAAAATTATAAAAATTATATATTAATAATCTATATGTTAAGACAAATCAAACAAGATCACACATGACTATTTTTAGACTTACACATTGAGAGAATTTGATGAGTCAAAGAGCTTAGATGAACAGTTCCAAAAGTCAAAACTGGACAAAAAGAGTGGGACGGAGGTAGTATATGATTTGTGTTAATTGGTTTCTCAATCATCTTCTTGATGTTATTATTCTATTATTATTATTATCATATCCCATAAAATTTATACGGAATTTTTTTTACCGTTTTGAATTCTCTTGAATTTTTTGTTTCATATAATATGCTCTATTTAGTAATACTGTACTCTCTTTGTCCATTTGATAAAGTAATATAGTCATGTCACCTTTTATTTCGTAAAACTTTTGATATTAATTTTAAATAAGTACTCGTAATTTTTATCTTTTAATTTCACACTAATTCTCAAATAAATTATCATCAAAATAGTTTGGGTCAAACATCGTAAATCGAAACAGTCAATTTAACTCGGGACGAAGTGAGAGTATAACATTTATTTGTGTAAAATGATAGATATTAATAATGATCAAAGTATCGCATTAGTGACCATGAAAAAAGCAAATGTAAAGATTTTTAGGGGGTGAGAGTATACGTACTCTATCTTCCCCATGTAGAGTATATATTTTGAGATGGCTCACATTTTAATAGCTTTTAAGTTTTATGGTTCATTTTATTTATTTAATTAATTATTTATGTTTGAAAATAGGCAGAAACTCAACCACATTTGTCTTTGAAAGAAGAATATTGGAACAAAATTTTGCAACGGAATACATTATACCGGCTAACGAAAGTTATGGGAAATTTACATCCTCGAAAACATAAATTGGCATAAATTTAACAACATTTTTTATGATAACCAGAGGTGAATAAAATTTATTTATATACTGTATAAATATGGAGTAATATAACCAGAGGTGAATAACTAGTTTTTTTCACAGGGTAGCAAAACGGGAGAAAAAAAGAGCATGATCGAGGAGGGGAGTGATGTGGAAGAAGAGAAAAGAACTCATGGTTCTTTCATAAAGTATTTTGCACTTTTTATTTAATTATTTCAAAATAAACTTCACACTTCACTCATTTCATTTTAAAGAAAAAAATATCCATCCATCTCAATTTAAATCTCTTACGGAGTATTTACTATCTACATAATCAAAATTTAACCATATTCTTTATCTATTTTCATTATTCATTTGATGAAATAATATAATCATGTCATTTCTAATTTTATAAACCTAAATTTTTTAATATATGAATGCTTTTTAATTCCACACCCTTTTTCAATTAAAATGCATTAAATATAATTTCATTCAAACCTCATAAATAACAAGCAATTTAAATTAGGGCGGAGAGACTACATCATTCACAATATAATTCTTGCCAAACAAATTCTAACCAAATATTTTTCAGTTTTTAAAATAAACCTAGGGGTACACCAAAATGGAATATCACATTTGTACACCAGACAAACACAGACACTTAGTATCTGTGATCCACATACACTAAGTGTCTGTGTTTGCCTGATGTACAAATGTGATTCCTCATTTTGGTATACCCCTAGCATGCCCCCAGTCTTTAACAGGACAAAGAGAGCATACTACAAGATCTTTGATAAGAAATAGTTACTGAGCCAAGCCTCTACTTTTTCCTTCTTTGAGTAATAGGGTTTCTCTAGTGAGAACATTAACAATAGCAGACTAGCAGAGCTTACATGATGACAGCAATGTGTTCACAACACAGGCAAATGATACTCCTACATAGCTCTATCAACAGGCTTCAGTTGTTTTCCCACTTAAAAAGAGTTATGAGAGAACATATAAAACAATGGCTCAAAAAGCTCTAGTGTTACTCATTAAACTGAAAACCATATTGGAAGAGTACAAATGAGGCTTGAGAAGTTGATTAAAAAGCTGTTCCAAAGGCAGAACTGTTGATGTTTCAGGCGATTCGCTCATCTATGCGCCCCTCGCAGTGCTCCATCGTACCCTGTTGCAGTATTGCCAGACGGTGGTGCTGCTGACCCGTACACCATATTTCTTGAATGCCCAATTTGCCCTTGAGTCCCAACCCCGGCAATTGCCTCATGGCCAGCGGCTTCATAATTGGTTCCACCCGAATATTCATAGCCCGAGCCCGAACCGAGTGACCTATACGCATCATATCCAGGATACCCTGGCCCACCTCTCTGTGCATCATATGTAGCTCCAGTAGCCCCCCTCTGTAGATCGTACCCGGGCCCAGGCCTTCCTCTTTGCGGGTCGTAGTTGGGCATTTTTGATGGGTCGTGAGCTTGTTTTGAAGAATTAGGTGGCCCAGCACGGGCTCCAAAGTTTGGAGAATTGCTAGCAGGAGCCGCGACTCCACTGGCATTTCCCATGGTGGGAGGTGGGCCTCGTCCCTGCTTTAGAAAAGTGGTCGGTCAACAACATCCACATTGACTTCACGGCCAAATTCACAGAAAGATTGGACTATTTTAAGACATGGAATCATAGAGTTTGTTTTTGGAACGTCGTAGGTGATTAGAATTAGTATTTCGGATAATTGTTAATGATACATATTAACTTTGGAAACACTATGGAGTACTTTTGAAGAGCATTTCCAAAACGTTGAAGTGAAACGTTAAAGCCAATGCTAAAGGGAGACACAGCCAAGGAACAATGAACAACTGTAAAGAAACTACTACATGCATGGAGAATGACAAAACATAGAGTAAAATTACGCAATTAGGTTATTAAATAGGTAATTACTAACTACTACGTATATCATTTTAAATACTTATCAACAGTTATCAACACTAATTACTAACTACTACGTAAATCATTTTAAAGACTTGGGTTATTAAATAGGTAATTCCCTCCTTGTTTACTTGGTCGTTTCAACATGCCATCTCAGAAAATAACAAAATTCACGAGCTCGTTAGGAGTTCACAGTATAAAAAGCACATTTTTTTACAAATAAACAATAAAAATACAAAAATCCTCACTTTGGCAATCAGCCAATAAAATGGCTTGATAAAAATAAAATCCTCACTTAGGGAATCGCCCAATAAAATGGCTTGATAAAAAGGAAGCAACACAAAGTATAGAAGAAGAGTTAAAATCACCTGAGCAATGCCATAAGCATCTCCATATACATTTTGTGTAACAGCATAATTGTTTGTAGCATCACTTTCATTATGAACCGTAGAGTTACCATACGCCACACCTGCATTTGTATAATAACCCAAACTTAGTTGATTCATAAATGGAAAAGCTACCACATGCAATTTACAGAACTGTAACTACACGAACGAGTATATATTACTCCGTCCCAAAAAAATCATGTTTCAAGAACTTCTTTTATCAAAAAAAATTAAGGTTCTAGAATTAAATTACAGTTTAAAAGTTGACTTTCATTTTTGAGTAAAATTCTCATAAAGCAAAGTAAGAAAAGGTTTCAATGACTCCATACATTTTCAGAAATAAGCTTTACAGCTTGAAGTGAATATTCATAACTTGTAAAAGCTTGTACCTTGATTGAGTTGAGCAACAATAAACAGTTGCGCTTTAAGCAAAGAAAGGCACTTTAGTGGGACAGAGAGTATATGCCTAGGAATGTACTACTTGTGATTTTCGTCGCAAAAATAGTGCACATGTTGTATATAATGTATACAGCTGTCTTATGAATGTACATGTATGATGTATGTATAAAATACCAGTTCTTTCTAAATTAGTAGTGTTGTTTAATTCTGTCCGAAGCTTTTCCACTTCATTTGCCATGGCCGTGTATTCCTTTTCCATCACCTTAAGGGACTCAAGGTGATCGTGGTAATATTTCCTGTCATACTCATAAGTAGCTCTGCATTGATCAAATTGGAAGATATCAGGCATTGGCTGTCCACTGTTAATAATAACTTAACATATGGTGATTTTTTTAAAGATAATAATATGTTAATTAGTGATACAATGTCCAGCAATGAAAAAATGGGCTATGAATGCCAGCTATTTACAAAGGCACTAATGCACGCAGCTACTTCCACATTATTTTACCTCAAATACTTCCCCCAATATAAGCAAGCTGAATACAGCGAGCTTATGCTTCATCAAACATCGTTATGTTCGATTTGGAAGGGCCAGAACTAACAATTCATTTTTAAAATGCGAATTAACTGAATACTTAAAAATCCTTGAAATTCATTCAGGGTGTACAATGTAATGGGAATAATACAATGTCAAGCTTATTCCTTAAAAGAGAAGGGGCTTCCTTCTGTTAGAAAAAAGGTCAAAGCCATAAGAAAAGAGGGAAAATTTGGCCTTGTCATGCCAAACTAAAAATGATTACATGAATACATTAACCATCAACCTCGTATAAGACATATACATTCAAAAATCTCCATAGCATTCAAGAACCTTATTTCCAAGGTAGTCAAATGCAACAGCTGCAGTAAAGGCACAAGAAGTCTTATGTTGCCTAAGAAGCAAAGCACCAAAAGCACTTGAACTACTCAAGTGAGGTGCGCACTTGTTTACAGTAGAGCACTTTCAAGTATTAAAAAACATAGAATTTTAATACTATCAGATTAAATATATGAACAAACAAGGCCACAAAAGTAACTACTCATGATAGACTTCCAACATTAACTACTCAAAAAAAAGACAGAGAAAGAAGAAAGAAGACAGAGGAGAAGACAAGACAAATAAGAATGAAAAAATCAGAACAGAAAAGAACACTTTCATCTAAATTTCTAAGGAATAAGATAACTCCCGTTTGTCTCTGCCATGCAACTTTTATTATCAATATTACCATCGTTGTTGTTATCATCATCAAAAGCTAATGCATATTTTTGTTGGGATACTGTCCTAATTATATGTTTAATAATTGGATGGCTAGATAGGCTTTATATACGAGTATTGACTTTATAATATAAAAGAATAGACTGAAGTTCATAATTTATGGGGCAAATAAAAATGTTATGGAAGAACAGAATAAGGTGGATAATCCCTTGCTTGGCACCTCGTCCAAAAGTTGAGCCTCGCCCCTTATGGTATTAATGTTTACATTTTAAGATATCCAGGAAAAAGATAAATACCTGCAATGCTGCAGCTCCTGTCTTAATGCTTCAAGCTCAGATAGTAGAATAGGAATCTGTTGTGTGCTAGCATGAGTCCTCTGAAGATCTTGATTCATCTTCTGTGCTTTCAAAATAAGCTCTTGCCTTTCAGCAACAAGACTCTGAGCTTCAGCTCGTGCCTTTTGCAATTCCACTTTGAGAGGATCAGCTGCTTTGAGTTCGGCCTCTATCCTGGCTATTTTATCCTTGAGCCCCATTGTCTGGTTTTCCTTCTCTGCTTTCATAGCCCCTATGTGAGTGTGCAATAGTTGCAGCTCATGTTTTGCAGCAGCAAGCTCTTGCCGCAAGGTTTCGTGTGTAGCAGCAAGCCTAAGGTTTTCTGTAACAAGTTTTTGCATCTCGGCATGTTGTGTGGTAATCTTCTGCTCCAATATTTCTGGACGATGAAGCATCTCAAAAGGAGGGAAGCCACCAAGTGGGGGTCGAATTGAAGGACCATATGGATCAGGGTGCACTGTGTTTGGTCGTAGAGGAGGGTGTCGCATGAAAGGAGGCAGTGGTTTATTGTTTTTGCTCCCCATTGAGATTGACTTATATTCCAGGCCACCAAGATCTTCAGAGCTATAGCAACTGATCAACCAAGTACCGACTAAAGAAGTTATTGAGGGAACATTTTAGCAAGACTTAAATCTATTGAAAACAAAACATGTGAAATTTTTGCATCTTTATTATTAACTTTGTGCCAAAAATCTGTACATTGTATTAATATAAATGCAGTTTGCTTTGCAATTCTCCCACCAAAACTGACTGAAGAAGATATTAACCAAGCTGAAAGTAGACTCTGCGGTAAAGAAACCTCTATTTCTAAAGTACCTATCGAAGTTTTATAGTTTTCTTTAGTTTTTAGCATTGTGTTGTTTCAATAACATATATACACCTGAAATTTTTAGTTAAAATACCCATTTTATAGTTCCAAATAATAAAAAAATCAAACTTATGTGAAATATATCTCCCCACCCAAAAAAACGGAGGGGTTAATTATTTTAAAAAAAGCTCTAGCTTTCACCCTAAAATTGAAGAACTAATGGTGTTACTTCTTCACACCAGCACAACATCTCGGGATGAAATTTAGTTTTACCTAAGCAATAATTTAAAAAAACAAACAAAAGATGCAGCTTTGTCAATGCAATAAGCAATATCTAAAATCGAATTAAATACATTTTAATTCAGTACACACTCCTAATACTCAGAACCCCATCCGAACCACTCCGTTATAAATAAAATTACACTGAAATCAAAAATTTGAAAATTACACCATATTTCATAGAGATATTCATAATATGGTTCTGGTATGGTAGATATTCAGATTTGAGATTCCGACCATAGATCTGAGAATCCATTAAAGATAAACAAAAACTTGTGTTCGAGAGAATATTTGATCGGATGAAAAAAGGGAAGCAGGGAAAGACTGAAGATGAAGTGCCGGAGACGATATACCTGTGGCCGCTGAAGAACGCAGAATCGCCTAACGGGAAGGAAGGAAGGAGGCCAGAGCCGAAGTTGAGTGGAAAATCAATGGAATATTTCGAGGTGAAGTGATTTTAGAAGAAGAAGAAAGAAAAGTTGCAGTTGGGTTTGATCCGAAATACGCCCACTGTATTATCCGGCCCAATTACAGTTGAATGAATTATAGAATGAGCCATTGGGCGTGCCTCCCGTCTGAGTCTTCGTAGCCTTTCTAACATGGGCTTAACGGGCCTAAACATAATTGCGTAGGTTAGGCCTAAACATAGGTTGGGCCAATTGTAAGGTTACTGTCCCGTTCAGATTAAAACTTTTAACCTTCTATTTGAGAGGGTCACGAATTTATGATAAATAAAACATATTGCTTAGATAAAACAATATTTTAAAATTATAATATGAAACAAATATAATAAAATTATGTGTGTACTAATATCTAATATCAATTATATTTAATTAGTAGTTCATCATTTTTTACAACAAAAAACAGGACCGCCCCAAGGGTGGGACAATATGTCCTACCGGCCTAGACCCATTTTTCAGGCGCCCAATATTTTTAATTTTTTAATATATATTACTCCCTCCGTCCCCCTAAGATGTTCTCATTTTGACTTTTGATGGTTTTTAAGGAGAGTTGAAAAAAGGTGAAAGTTTACCATAATACCCTTAATGAAATATGGTGGAGTGTATTAAATGAGGTGGATGAGGTGTAATAAATAAAGTAAGTGGGGGTAGTTATGATATTTTAATTGTTAAAAAATGAAATGAGAAGATCTATTGTAGACAAAGAAAAAAGGGCTATTGAGAAGATCTATGGGGGACGGAGGGAGTATATATTTTTCAATAAAGAAAGTTTAAAACATATAAATTTTCAAAGAAAATATTATTTTATTTAATTATAAAACTATAATTTTATTATGTATGTTACTTTAAAATTAATCATTATTTTGAAGAAAATAGTTTATATAATTTAATTTATTATGAGAAAGACAAAGACCTATTATTTTGTCTCGTTCAGAATAATAAAATTATGTCTTGTTAAAACGTAAAAACTGAACAAATACTCGCCGGTCACATTTAAGGTGTATATATGATTTGTTGGGTTGAAGAGATGGCAGAAAACACAATTCTCTGCACATTTTTCCCTTGGTTGGAAGAGAAAAGTGGGAGGAAGTCTCTAAGTCTCTTCCATAATGACTAGAAAACCATACACAAACGAGAGAAAATACACAAACGGGCATAATTGTCCTTAGACTTATTTTATGAAATTTAGTGCATTAATACCATATAAATTTAAGATATTTATGAAAAGAAAAAGTCATTTATCAGTTCATATAAAATATGAGGTCTACAACTTTTCTTTTAACTAAAATGAAGACAGGGCTTTCATTTTACACTATCACATTTGTTGGGAAAATGTGGGAGGTAAGTAGATAACACCAAGAAAGAAAGGCATATATGAAGAAATTTGATATTCTTCACTCCATTATCTAATTTTCATTTTAAAAATTACCGCTCATTATTTTCTAACAACTACGCTAGATAACAAGTATGCTCAACATAAGACCTTTGCAAGTACCAGGTGTAAACTCCATTCTTTGTCACCAATCTGCGACTAAAATATAATTTCAAACATTTTCCATTCCTAATTTAAAGAACTAGTAATAATGTCTTCTTATACTCTCTCCGTCCCAATTTAACTTTTCTATTTCCTATTCAAATTATCAAACTTTGATCACGTTCTTTACCTATTTTCGCAACATAATTGAAAAAATAATATAATTGTGTCACCTTTTATTTTGTAGAATTTTAGTATTTTTTTAAATATATAAATTTTATTTGTTAACTACTACGTATTCCATAACAATTTTTAAATAAATATAATTGAATTTTTTTTAGTCAAACATAATAAGAAATACGGAGTAATATGTGATTTAAATTGAGAGAGAAGAAATAAAAAAAATAAAAATGCAAAGTGTGTAATGAGATTAGGGAAGCATTCCCAATGTGTGCATTAAATAACACATGGGGTATGTGACTTACTCCCTCCGTCCCCGATTTGATTACAAATTGCGGATATTTTTTTACTTTTTGAAATCATTTTATTTATAAATTGGTATATCAATAAGATATAAATTTACATATTAACAAACTACTTCAAAAATTTTACAAAACAAGAGATGAAAAGAATATTTTATTTTATCAAATACGGAATACTTAATAAAATCACGTAAACAAACAAAAATTAACGAGAGGATAAATGACGATAGGACTATCAAATATAGAAGTGAGATAATGAGAATTTAGGATTGGAAATATTTGCACGGAATAACACTAAAACTTAAGTCATTTCTTTAAATACGGAGTAGCACTTAAACTTTTTTTTAAATAGCACTTAATAATATCCATAATGAGGATTAATGACGAGTGATGACAAACATTTACTGAACAATGACTAATAGATAATGACTAAAAGTGCTATATTGGGAAAAACACATGTGATGCTATTTAAGGAAAGTCATTATATTTTAGTAATATTTGCGTAGGTGTTCAATCGATTCGATCCGATTCGATCATAAAAATTCGGATATCCGAAAATTTCAAATCATGTAAAACTCATTCTATATCCAACTTGAAAATATTTGGATATCCAAAAATTTGAATATCCAAATTTTTAGATCGGATCACTGAATTCTCCAAAAAGTTAACTTTTTAACCAAAATTTACAAAAAAAGTGTAAATAGAAAAATCAAACCACAATATAAATTTACTAAAAGTAAAATTCCACCACTAGCTAATGACCTAATAAAAATGATACCAACTTCAAGTTCCAAAATCAATATAAAATTGCATTAAACATATAGCAATAATATATATCCATAAAATTCCATTAAACATATAGCCAAAAAATCGGATATTCGTTTATCAGAAAAACACTGAAATTTGAATCCATATCCAATTCGATTTTTCTCGGATATCCGATCTGAAATATCTGAAAGCTCAAATATCAGATCGGATATCCATTTTTCGTATCGGATCAGCCCGGATCATAAACGGATATTTTGGATCAGATATTTTCGAACACCCCTAACTGAGATTAATCATCTAATTGTCTGCTCCCAATTAACAACGACGGCATTAATAACTCCTGCATTTCTAATAAATCCACTGCGGTTGATTAATATTGCATGACCCCTTAGGCGGGAAAAAACACTAGTCATATACGGAGTATTTTTTAGATCAGATTTGTTTTATTTTTGTACTCCGTATAGATAAGAATACTAATTAAATATGAAAACATTCTTTCCATTAAATAAGAATACTAATTACTACGAGTAAATAGGTTTACTTTCCGATTTGAATAATAAATAAGAATAATACTAGTAATTAAGTACGAAAACAGGGTTGAAATTACCTTTTTAATTATTAAAGCACTGTTGAAAACACGGTACTCGCTCAAACCAAAGAGTAAAATGTGCCACATACCATTATATAAAATTGAAAGATTATTCCGTGTGACTTACCATTTTTTAGAAATTTCGTACAGTTATTTATAATTAAAAGAGTAAAACGTGCCACTTTTCATTATTTTAAAATTACGTTTAGTGTTTTAATATTGAAAGAGTAAAACGTGCCACTTACCATTTTAAAATTGAAAGATTATTCCGTGCCATTTACAATTTTTTAAAAACTTCGTATAGTGATTTAAAACCGAAAGAGTAAAACATCCCACCTACCATTTTTAAAAAATTCCATTTAGTGTTTTAATATTGAAAGAGTAAAACGCGCCACTCACAATTTTAAAATTGAAAGATTATTCCGTACCCCTTACCATTTTTTAAAAAATTCCGTATAGTTATTTACTCCGTATAATAGAAAGGGTAAAACGTCACACTAACCATCTTTTTCTATTTCTGATTTTTTAATTTTTTTAATTGTGCTTTCCACAAATGCGTAGATTTATAAATTGAGTAATGCTGGATTCATAACAAAACAGTTCACAAAAATCACAAATTTACTTTTTTAACACTTTCCTTGAAATAAGATGGACTTAAATAATAAAAGATATTTTAATTTAAAAGCCACAAAAGGTAGGTTTGTGAAGTTTGTGAACTATATGTTTGTGATTCTAGTATTATTCTTATAAATTTAATTGCCTTCATAAAAAGATTGGTATCGGATCTCTAAATGGAAACATAATTAAATTGAAAGCTTGTTTGCTTAGAATAATCACATGACAATACTATTAAACGGATATATTATTTTTATTCTTGTTACATGGCAATACATGATTTATGACGATAATATTATTACATGGTATTCTATTATTACTCCCTCCGTTTGGAAAAATCATTCCCATTTGATTTGGGGGCAAAAATAAGGAAGTGTTAAATTATAGTTGATTTCCAATTTTGCCCCTGATGTGATAGGTAAAAGTAAGATGTGATGGATAGATTATTAGAAAAAAAGTATGATGTGATAGGTAGGGTATGAAAAAGTAAGGGTAAAAGTTGTTTTTTAATAAAAAGGGGAAGTGTTTTGTTGGAAGTAGAAAAAATGAAAGAGGAAGTGTTTTTGAGAACGGAGGGAGTATTATTCTTGTACCGAGTACCGTGATTCATATAGTGTATCATTATAATTATTATAATTAGTGAAAACCCCATAATAATTAGACAAGTTACCATTTCTATAATCAACATGAATGGGCGGGAAAACGCAGGGCAAAATTCCCTTGGTTTCAAATATAGTATAGAACTATAGATATAGATATACATTACTTATAAATTTAAACTTATTTAGGAAGTTTCATAATCATTTACTCTTATTTTGGAAGTTCTCCTAAGCTACTTAAATATAGACATGAGCAAAAGGACCAGACTAATTAGGCCAGATTGATTCATTGAAAAGATCGGTACTATTTAGAACGAGATCGGTCCAGTCTTTTTAAAAAAAAATCACTATAGACTACTCCAGTTTTCATAAAAAATAGATCCTTTTTTGGACAGGGTAGTCTTGAATATGTAAAATTTTAAAAAATGTTGTTCTTCAAAAAAACAATTGTAAAAAATAAAAATCTTAATTTTGAATATTTAATTTTTTAAATTTATGTTTTATATTGATTTATAATAATTATGCAACAGTCACTTTATATTTTAAATATAAAAGTCAGAGTGCGTACATCCAACTCGCCTTACATTGCAATGGGCATGAGCCTTCGATACATTGGGGTAATGTTGTTGTTGTAAGGTGAAAGTTAGATATAATCAACAAAAAAAATTAATGTGTATGTGTTATTGTTTTATAAATGTGTGATATTTTTATTTTGTTCATTTATTTGTAAATTCACAAAAAAATGTAAAGTCTTATTTGTAAATTCATAAAAGAAATTAAAGTACTATGCTCTATATTGATATGATAGACGTATATATATATATATAATTAATTAATTTTAAAAAATAAATATTAATGTATAAAAATTATATTTCAAGTACATTATATCTCTCGTCATAGTCCGGTCTAAGTCCTGTCTTTCAGAAAAGACTATCATATCCGAGACCGGTCTAGTCTTTCATAAATATAAGGACCAAATGAGACAATGGGTCCAAGAATTGACCAATCCCAATGACTACTTCAGTCCCGTTTTTTGTCCCAATCCGTATCTATCTTGAAGGACTAAATTAGAAGTAAAACATGAAAAAAATACTAAAATAAGATTTTTATTTTTTATTAATGAAATAGGAGTACAATATCAATAATACCAATATATAGTATCAAAAAATATAATTGGATGCCATTATACACTGTCAGATTGTGAGCTCTTATCAATTCATACTTTATTTAAAAAGCCATGGATTCTCAATTTGGTTTTCCCGCTCATTTGATGTTCCAATAAAAATGGTAATCGTTAATTCCATATGGTAATGACTCAATTAAAATGGTAAGTAATTTAAAGTAATAATAATTCTTTTGCACGGGTCATTAATGTTACACGATTTTGATTCATTCCCATTTATGGAAAACTTTCCACACGTAATTAATTTAAATTGGAAATGATTAAAAAGGTGAGTAATTTAAATAATTAAATTAAAATTACGTGTAATAATTTAAAGTAATAATTAAATTACGTGTGGAATAATTTAAAGTAATAATTTAAAGTAATAATACGGTAATAATTTAAAGTAATAATTTAATAATACGGTAATAATTTAAAGTAATAATTAAATAAAAATTACATGTAAACTTTCCAAACCATCTATGGTAATAATTTAAAGTAATAATAATTTTTTTGCACGGGTCATTAATGTTACACGGTTTTGACTCATTCCCATTTATGGAAATGATTAAAAAGGTGAGTAATTTAGATAATTAAATTAAATAATAACGTGACGTCAAAAAATAATGTTAAAATGGCCAACCTAATTATGAGAAACAATTAAAATGGTAAGTAATTTAAAGGAATAATAATTCTTTTGCACGAGTCATTAATGTTACACGGTGTTGACTCATTCCCATTTATGGAAAACTTTCCAAATGTCATTAATTTAAATTGAAAATGATTAAAAAGGTGAGTAATTTAAATTGGTAATTAATTATTAACCTACTTACCTTTATTGTAAACTTACTTTTATTAATCCCGTCCATTTGGTATTGCAAAAAATGGTAATTGTTCACTTAAAATGGTAATGAGTCAATTAGAATAAATAATTAAATTAAATAATAACATAAAATGACTCGTGCAACGCATGAGTGTGATACTAGTTTTAGTAATAAAAACATAAAACTTTTATTTTGAAATAAATATTATGCATTAATTATATTTGAGTGGTTTAATTTAATTTGCTATCTTTTCGATCCTAGTTACTCCGTATAATCCTCACTACTAAAATAGGACTAACCGTTACACTTATACTTAAACAAGACTAATCCTTTTCACATTATATTTTGAGTGCCACAAACGTTTCAATCTAATGAATAGTAATGATCTTATGATTGATTCTCCGTTATACTAATTTCTCCAAATCAATGAACAAATTACTCCGCATGGCATATGATGGGATTTATTGCGATCGTTCAAAAATCTTAATCATTTACTCACCTTCTCCCAATTACAAATCATCAATCAAAAATATTTATGAATATGCGTTACGAGTTGTATGCATCTATATAAGAGGAGATTGCTCTAATTGTTCATTCGTAGAGTTGCAATTGCATTTCCCAAAACACACCACCATGAAAACCTCTACTTCTTGGGTCTCAAACAAAAACTTACGATATGAATTTCATATCTTCATATTCTCACTCATTTTTTTAATAGTTTCATCAGAATCCACAAATAAATATCAGTCTCAAAGGTCAATGAAAGGTAATTTATGCCACCTCATTCACTACCCTGAATTGCTAATGGAGGGAGATGTGAAAAGGCTGGTACCTAAAGGTCCGGATCCAATTGAGCCACCTATTTCATCTAAGATTTTGTCTGGTCTCTCCAATCTACAAGCCTCGTTCAATACGGGACAGTGGGTGAAGGAAGGAAGCATGAAGAGACTTGTGCCTTCAGGCCCAGACCCAATTGGGTCTCCTGACCCATTAGGAAACGATATGGAGATTTCACAATGGGCGCACGAGGGAGGCATGAAAAGACTGGTGCCTTCAGGCCCAGACCCAATTGGGTCTCCTGACCCATTAGGAATGAATATGGAGATTTCACAGTGGGTGCACGAGGGAGGCATGAAAAGACTTGTGCCTTCGGGCCCAAACCCAATCGGGTCTCCTGACCCATCAAAAATTGAAACAGAGATTTCACAGTGGGTGCACAAGAGAGGCATGAAAAGACTAGTGCCATCAGGCCCAAACCCAATCAGGTCTCCCGACCCATCAAAAATTGAAAAAGAGATTTCACAGTGGGTGGACGAGGAAGGCATGAAAAGACTGGTGCCTTCAGGCCCAGATCCAATTGGGTCTCCCGACCCATCAAAAATCGTTACAGAGGTTTCAGAGTGGGTGAACGACGAAGGCATAAAAAGACTGGTGCCTTCAGGCCCAGACCCAATTGGGTCTCCTAACCCATGAAAAGATTCCTTATATGGTCTAGTTGATCTACTCCATACACAAAAAATATGGGTGGTTCGGTGAAAGTTTGGTTGCAATTAAAAGAGTATATCCTCTTGATCGAACATGTTGAGCTATCTTTTACAAAGATAGAGAAGCGAAAAACAAAATAAAATATACTGAAGTTTTTATCTTTATAAGGTACGATCCACATGCATACAAAAAATACTAAACTAATTAAATGCTCTGTTGGTCTCTTTGCATTGAAATTTCAATTGTGTTGATAAACTTAAGAATGTCATCTACGTCTCAAAATATTGTGTCTCTAGTTAAAAAGGATTAACTTTCATCATAAACTATACCACTAAATAATGTTACAAAATACTAATGCAAAAATCTATCGTTCAACGATTTTTTCAAAACACTAACAGTAAAATCTAACATTGTTATCAAATGTGACCAAAGTTTCTACTTTCATGTCATAACCACAATTGTCAATATAGCATTTTGCAAAACGTAATCTAGTGATATTTCACCTAATAAATCTAGGGGTACACCAAAAAGGAGTACTCTATTTGTACACAAACAAACACGAACATTTAATATTTTTGATTTGATTTATAAACACTAAATGTCTGTATTTGTCTGTGTTTGCATGGTGGACAAATGACCGGATAAATTATTTTGGTGTACCCCTAGTATGCCCCTATTTCATATATACTATATCATCACTATTTAAACAATTGATATGGTTTTGATTATTCCGCTTTGAAAATATTTTTAAAAAAAAAAACAATCGGAGCAGTTAAATAAAGTTGGTGCACTATTTTTATTTATTTGATTTTTCAAGAAAAAAGTAATGAGTAATTTTAACTGAACACTAATTGTGCATTTTATGCACTATTGTTTGGTTACAGTTTTTTGACAAACATAATTGTTTTTTGATATTTCAAGAAGTAAATTTATAATTTGATTTGTACTCCAAAATAATTAAGTACTATAAAAATATAAATTTAATTATGTTAGATTCACAGCAAATAAATATTATTTAAATTTACTAAAAGAAAACAAATGAACAAATGTATAGTTAATGGAGTAATAATTTACTCACTAACAACATTTTAGTGGTAATGGTTCAATATTTCAACCCATTGGGTACCATTTTGAAAACGGTTCAATATGCTTTGGAATAAAAATTACTAGAGTCATTTAATATTCCGTTTTTTCGGTTCGGTTCAATATCGGTCTGCTTCAAAACAATGTTGGATCAATATTTTTGCTCAGATTGCTCACCCCGCCCTAGCATGCATCAATGTCGTATCGTTGTACACTTACTTGTACCTCATATGTTTTAATCAAAGGCTAAATAAAAAATGTGATCCGCATGTAAAATTTATAAAACAAAATCTTATTGACGAAGACATAAAAAACTTATAAAAAATATCTATAATAAATAAAAACTATCCTTGAATTAAGATTAGAGCCTGTTCTTTTAGGATTTAAACTAACTTCCAGCTTCTTAAAAATTTTTCCAGTTTCTTCCCGTTCTTCTAGTTTCTTCCAACTATTCTCATTTTCTTCAAACTCGTTCTACTCCCCAATTAATTACCCTAAAAATGATATATTTTTAATGTGAGTATTATTATTATTATTACAATTATTATGTTCATAACTATAGTTTATAAATTATTTTTTCATCTTACTATTTTTACGACTTTTAATTTGTATAAGACAATTTTTTTATATTAATATACATGATAAAATAGTAAAACATTAATAATTTAAACTATATCAAAAATAAAATAGTTATATAGAATGTTTTATTAATCTAACTTTATATAAGAGACCTGGCAATTGGGTCAATCGGTTCGGTTCCGGGTCGGGTCTTTTCGGTTTGGGTCTCTTTCGGATATATGTTATAATCGGTTCGGGTCGGTTCAGTTCGGTTCCGGGTTTATTTCGGTTTGATTGGTTTTCGGTTTCGGTTCGGTTTCGGTTCGGGTTTATATCGGTTCGGGTCTGTATCAGTTCGGGTTTGTATCGGTTCGGGTTTGTATCGGTTCGGGTTTGTATTAGGTCGGGTTTGTATTGATTTGAGTTTATATCGGTTTAAATTTATATTAGTTCAAGTATAATGTAAACACATACTAATTGATAATGTAAATTACCACGCAAATGCTAAGTATGAGTAATCGGAAGGGTTGTAGGTGGAAACACCTGTAACTCGGTTTGTTATTATTGATAATAGGAGCTATTACAAAGTACAAGCCGTGTGGATTAATTAAAGCATACCTCACAAATGAGGTTTTTAGGGTATTTATAATAATCCTAAGCACGTCAAGCACGTCTCTGATTATCCAGCCGGTCAGCCGACCGACCGGTCAACCAGGCGTGCTTCTAAAAATAGATCTTTAGCTATTGGCGTCAGCCTTCCCATCCAACCGGTCAAATAACCCGGTTGGGTGAACCAACCGGGTGGCATCCATGGGTTAATACCCATCACTAATAAATGAATAATACCACATAATAAATTTAGTTAATTTATGACATACTTCGTAGTTATTTTACTCCGTATTATTTAAGACGGACGTACATAAAAAATAAACACTTATATTTTTTATAGTGTGTTAATTGGCATATTAAAAAAACAAAAACAACTTTGGTAACATAATTCTTTACATAAAATATGTATTATAATGTAACTATAATTTTTATATACTTTCTATAAAAATACAAAAATATTTTAACTTAGGTTATAAAATATAGAGTATAAAATAAAAGATTTGTACATGAAAGTAGTTACATGGTTTGCACCCATAATTTAAATATGTTTTTTTAGAAACACATCAACATATGTAAAAATATATAGGTAATTCTTTTTCTCCAAATTCATTTGATAAATGAAATATTAATGAATTTGATCAATTTCGGGTCTAATCGGTTTCGGGTCTAATCGGTTCCGAGTTTAATCGGGTTCGGGTTTAATCGGGTTCGGGTTTAACCGGGTTCGGGTTTAATCGGTTCGGGTTTAATCGGGTTCGGGTTTAACCGGGTTTGGGTTTAATCGGTTCGGGTTTAATCGGGTTCGAGTCTGAATCGGGTCTGAATACATTTGGTTCGGGTTCGGGTTCGGTTCGGATCATTTCGGGTGTTCGGTTCTATTTCGGTTCTTCAGTTTTCGGGTCAATTCGGGTTCGGTTCCGGGTTATTCGGTTCGGGTTATCGGGTCCGGGTCAGTTTTGCCAGGTTTAATAAGACCCCTCACTTTTACCTTTATTACTCAATTTTTTCTCATTTTTATTTATTTCAATTTTTTTTCATTTTTCTAATTTCTATAAACAAATTTTTTTACATTTTGTCCCCCTTTTTCCCCCGAAAACATAATATGAAAAATAGACAAGATAATCTAGCAAATTAAAAAAAGGAGCACTTGTACCAAACTCATTGAAGACATCGAGCGGATGCTATATTTCAACATTTCAACTATGTGTGTACTTGGCTGTGTTAAATACTACTGTTTAACCTTTGCCACGCACGGAGTCGAATAAATTTTTTGTCAATTTATAAAATATTTTTCAATGCAATTTTTTCACTGGAATAAAGAAAATATATCTCTCGCATGTTTTGTAATAGTATATACAAAAAATGCCAAAGAAGAATAAATATCATTTGAGGAATTGAACGTAGAGTCATCAAAGTTTGTTTTAGTACTAAATTTTCTAAAATTACTTTTATCCATGGTATACAAAATTTTTGTTATGGTTGCAAGGATTTTCATTATCATCTCGAATTATTATTTTTGGACTATTAGTTGTGTCTTTGTGTTTACTCATGAAATAGAAATATAAAGTTGACCATGTGTAAACACTAATTTGTTAAAAATAATCTCACAAATGATAATGTTTGAACTTGACTTTTGTTAATAATCATAGCCACATATATGACGATCGAAAATTTTCTTCTCCAGATGGTATCAAATTCTATCTTTGGATGTAAATCTTTTTCCCAACTCAATTTTTTTAATTCACAATTGCACTGATAATATTTTTCGCAGCTCTTCAACGATTAATCTTATCCCATTACATAATCCAGATGTTAGGTCAATATCTATTCGTCAATATCATAATTGGTACCTCTTTTTTCCAAACATTTGATTTCATTTTAAAAATAGAGATCAATTTGTAAAATTAAACGCATCAAAGTCACAAAAAAAATATTAATTTGGTCACTATGTTCAATTAATAAGAAAAATATCTTAAAATTACTCTTTCTAGCTAGGTATTATTGTTTTTAAAAAATGAAATGCTTATGTACCTAAGTTTGAAATTTTTTAGAAATAGAAACTTTGAGAATTAATATATTCTCCGTACTACGTAAATGTAACATATACTTCCTCCGTCCCAAAAAGATTTACACATTTTGACTAAAGTGGAAATTAAGGGATGGATAATTTTGTATTGACTTTCCAAAAATAATTTTGATTTGATGTGTAAAAGTAAGGTGTGATGTGTAGATTATAAGGAAAACGGTATAATGTGATGAGTAGGATTTGAAAAAGTAAAGTGTAAAAGTGGTTTTTTGATAGAAATGGATAGGAAATTGTGAGACGCCGTTTTTTTGAAAGGTGTAAATCTTTTTGGGACGGAAGAAATATATTAAAAGAGTAGCCATAAACCACCATATACTCTAAAAATAGCATGAAATGAAATTAAATCATCATATACTCTAAAAATGAAGCGAGATATATTATTATTGAAATTAAACAATAATTCAGATCTGTCATATTATTATTGAAATTAACCCATCAAGAATGTTTATTCAAGTATAACGCATAACTTATCTATCAATCAAATTATAAAGCATAGATTGTCTAATAATTAAATTCAATAATAAAATCAAAATAATAGTAAAAACAAAGTAATTTTAGGACTATATCTTTTCTACTTTAAGAGTCTTCATCTTGTTGGCAATTGACCATTTCATTTTCATCTCCACATTAGGCTACCATCCACAATTTCTACAAAATCAATCATATAATCCTGCAAAATAAAGTAAAATTCTATCAATAAAGGTATAAAATTCAACTTACAATTTTAGAGGCTCTACAATTTTTTTACAATGGATAATGTTTTATTTATTCTTTAAATGCTTTCATAAAATAAAGCTAAGCGGCTGCTGCAACTACAGGTCAAAATGGGACAGTTCTTGGATGATGGAGAAAAAATGACCATATTTAAAAGACAAACCAAATTAAAT